ACGTATTTCAGAAACAGAAATGGAATATTTCATTGGTATATTGTTGATGACAGGTATTTATTCTTTTCCAAAACAACGTTATTTTTGGTCTGGTGATACACGTTTTGAGTCTATATCTTCGGTTATGAGTAGAGATCGATTTCTTGGAATCAAAAAATATTTACGCGTTACCGACAATTCAGTTCAGTCAAATTGAACAGATATAAATTTTCATCGAGCCAATAAAGTTCGTCCATTATTAAATATTGTAAAAGAAAATTTTAGGAAAATTTCAAAAGAAGAAAAATTAAGCATTGATGAACAAATTATTCCATTTAAAGGCAAAAGTATAATGAAGCAACATATGCCGAATAAGCAGAATCGTTGGGGTTATAAAATGTTTCTTTTAGTTGGTGGCAAAAGTGGTATATGCTATGACTTTATTTTCTATACAGGTAAAAATGATAAAAAGAAGCATGGATTTTGTACAGATATTGTATTGGATCTTTGTGAAACTGTGCCACGTTTTATCAATCACAAAGTATATTTTGACAATTATTTTACAACTATTCGTTTACAGGTAGAGTTGAGAAAGTTAGGCATTTTTGCAGCTGGTACGGTAAGACCAAATCGATTAATTGATTTAAACATCAAAAGTGAAAAAGATTTACCAAAAGAAGGTAGGGGTACAATGGATCATCGTGTCACAGAAGTTGAAGGGATGCAATTATGTGTGACATGATGGTATGATAATAATGTTGTTAATTGTCTTTCTACATTGCACGGTTGTGAACCGATTGAGTCAGCACAACGATAGTCACCAAAACAAAAGAAACATATTCTCATAGAACGACCGAAGATCATACAGGCGTGTAATGCACATATGGAAAGAGTCGATTTAATCGACATGTTAATTTCTTTGTATCAAATAAATGTTGGTTCGAAAAAGGATTATATAAAAATCATCTTTCATCTTATTGATTTGTCAGTTGTCAATGCATGGTCATTGTACCGACGCCACTGTTGGC